CTCTCTCTGTCTCAAAAATAAATAAACATTAAAAAAAATTAGACAGACAGATAGATGGATGATAGATAAATGATAGGTAGGTATAAGATAGATGATAGATATATATTTGATAGATAAATGATAGGTATATAGAAGATAGATAAATAGATAATAGATGATAGATAGATAGATAGATAGATAGATGATATATACAGAAAGATCTGGAAGACGGGATCCCTAGTTCTTCCAAGGATTACATTCCTTCTCTTTCTTTCTTTGACTCTGTGACCTCCTCCATTCTTCCCAGTTCCATGATCCAGAAAATTCTATTTCAGCTTAACCTTATTTGGGTTGGGTTTTGGTCACATTTGCTGCTGAAATAAACCTGAAGTCTTACCACCAAAATATACCCCAAATCTCTCCACCTTTCCCCATCACCAGCACTATCTCCTGCCTGGACACCTGCTGTCACCTCCTGATTGGCCTCCAGGCACCAAAACTTGCCTCTTTGAAATCCATCCTCCTCAAGGCCATCAGGGTGAGCTGGCAGGTAGAATCTTCAGATGGTCTGTCCTCAAGGCCATCAGGGTGAGCTGGGAGGTGGAATCTTTAGATGTCGTGCATGATAAGATTTCCATGCAGACCTGGAGGAGAGAACTGTCTGGGCTGTTACAGCCTGTCACAGCTTAGATGGTGTCTCGGGACTATTTGGCACTTGTAAGGAAGATGCCCAGAGTAGGTGGGTACAGAGAGCAATAACTGAGGCTTTTGGTACAGAGATGTACAACCTTTCTCTTCCTCCCACCCCTTCTTTCCTGATTTATTAGCACCATATCACTTGTGGTTGCATGGGGCCCACCTGGGTAATCCAGGCTCATCCCCTATCTCAGGATCCTTAGTCACACCTGCAAAGTCCCTTTGGCCATGTAATGTAACATGCTTACAGGCTCTGGGGATTGGGATGTGGACCTCTCTGGAGGGGGTCAAAGGGCATTATTCTATCTACCACAGAAGGCCAGCAAGAAACTGGAGTCCTCAGCCTAACTGCCCACCAGGGACTGGATTCTAACAGCTGTGTCATCTTGGAAGTATATCCAACCCTGGATATACTTAAGAGGAAGCCTTGGCTTGGGATGAAAACCCACTGGACGTCATGATATTTGTTCTGAAGCAAAGGACCCACCGAAGCTGTTCCTGATCCACACAATTGTGAGATGATATGTATGCGTTGTTTTAAGCCACAATTTGTGGCAATGTGTTGTGTAACAACAGAGCGCATGCATTCGTGTGACTCACTTTGGCAAAGAGATGCTGGTACTTGCGATGCACACTACAGCTTGGGATAAGTCTTGCTCATCTGCCCTTGCAATGAAAGCATGCCTGGGTGAACCTTCTGGAGGACAAGAGCAGGTGGAGCAGAGGAGGACCTTCTGGGGGATGACAGCAGGTGGAGCAGAGGAGGACCTTCTGGAGGACCAGAGCCGGTGGAGCAGAGGAGGACCTTCTGGGGAAGGAGAGCAGGTGGAGCAGAGGAGGACCTTCTGGAGGATGAGAGCAGGTGGAGCAGAGGAGGACCTTCTGGGGGATGAGAGCAGGTGGAGCAGAGGAGGACCT